AATTCATTGACTAGCCCACAAAAATTTATCAATTTTTTTAATAATTTAAAATTTATATAATATAAATATATATTTATTTTACATTTTAAAGTAAATTAAAAATTAAAAAACTTGTAAATAAATAAAATAAATATAGAATTCAACTAACTAATTTCATTTTTCTAGATTTTTATTATTAATCATCTTCTTGTCTAGGTGTGTTATCTTTTTCGATGAGAACAAAAATTTGAATATAAACTCATATTATTTTTCTCAATAAATTTATATTTATAATTTCAATCAATAAATCTTATGAGATTAATAAATACTATATATTTAAAATGTTTCTGTAAAAAACTAATAAATCATTGATTTATAAATTATAATAAAAATTTTATTTGCAAATTATAAAAAAAATTTATACTATATTTTAAATTTAAATAACATATTTAGAAGTCATAAATTATATATTTAAAAAATATTATCATTATTATAGATTTATAAAAAAATATAATATGATTAAAAATAAAAAATATTTTTTAAAAAATATGCTAGCCAATAAATCAGCCCATTTTAACTTTCTAATTTTATAAGTTGAACTAACCAAATTTATTTTAAAAAAATAAATTAATTTATTTAATTCAATTTATTAAATTTTATAAATTAAATGTACTAGCTTGCTAGCTCAATTTATTTTATTGACTCTACCTGTCCGCGCGTGTTTCTTCCGCGCGTGTTTCTTCTAAAAGGGTTAGAATTTAATAATCCCATTTTTCTTGTCAGCTTTTATTTATATTACACACTTTTTTTTTTTTTTTAAAGCAAGTCACTTTGACCTTTTTTTACCTGATGTCGCGCTGATCTGCCAGGGAATGGATTCCTCCATTTCTTTTCTCTCATTTTTTCTTCCTTTCCCAATCCCTATTTATTATTTTATTTTATTTTTTCTATATTAAATTATAAAATATTTTTAAATAAAATTTTATATGTTAATAAAATTTATTAAATATACTTTACAACTTTAATTTTTTAAAATAAAAATATAAATTTTTAAAAATATATTTTATTTAATACTTCATTGATGAAAGAATATTGAAAAGAAAAAATATATAAAAAGAGTAATACTAAAAAATTATCATTAATAAAATTTTATTTTTATTAAAATGTCTTTATATTTTGAGACTAAATTTTTTAAAAATATTTTATAATTTAAGATGAAAGGAGTATTAATTAAATTCGATGAATGGTGAGGATTGAAAAAAAGGAGGGAAAATGAGAAAAAAAAAAGGAAGAATCCATCAGATAAACAATTTTTAACGCACTTAATTACCATTAGTTCCACGTCGGATGGGTTATAGGGCACTCATTTATTTTCCGAGAAATAAGGATGGATGGAAATGATGAAAAAAGGTCTTGAGTAAAATTATAAGAATTAAATAATTATTTTTTTAAAAAATTATTTAGAAGATACATGACAAACTAATTATATAAATTTTAAGTTATAAAGATTAATGAATTAATTTTAAATTATGAAATTTTTAATAATAATATAAAAGTTCATTTACCAGAAAAAATAATGGTTCGTAATTTCATTTTTTAAAAAATTAATAATTTAATCTTTAGAGATTAATAAATTTATCAAATCAGCCATTAAAAACTTGATCAAAATAAAATAAATTTTATAAATTTAATTTAAAATTTAAAAATTATAAAGATATGTGAATTAAATTTTTATTAATTTTTTTGTAATGCCATAGTACTTATTGCTGTCCCTATTAATTGTAGGCCCAGCAAATAGTCAAACTTGATCATGGCTGTTTTTTTTTTTTTTTTTCCAGATAATTATCGCTGTTATGCATGCGATATTGATTAACTTTTACAAAAATAATCCATATTATAAGATTAAACAGAATAAAAGGATCAATATTTATTATATTTTATATTATAATTAGTTTATTATATTTATTAATAATATATCATTAATGACAAACTCCTTACATTTTAATATGAACCAGCTACATTTTTAAATTTTAAAAAGTTTGTTCTATATTTTGTTGGTACAAAATTTTTTGAGCCTTTAGGCCAATTTATCGTTAATTTAAACCATGATCATATTTTGAATCTAAGATAAAAATATTTTAAATATAACATATACAATGCATTAGTATAAACAGAAGTAGAGAGAAAAATAAATATGAAGATAAAATATTTGTTCATGCTTAAATTCTTTTATACTCCCTCCATTAAAAAATATAAGACTTTTTTAATCAAATCTCACTTCTTAATAAATTAGTTACTTACTCTCACACTAACTCTATCTTTTTATATTTATCCCTATTAAATACCCTATAATAAATATAAAGTCATTTATCAATAGTGACACTTTTTTTAAAAAAAGTAATGATTACAATTTAAAAGACTAAAAATATTTTATATTTTTGAACATTTAATTCTTTAAAAAATGCTTTACATTTTTAAATGGAGGGATTAAAAAATATCAAAACCAGGTATATTAATAATAGACAATAACATTAGAAATCCTTTGCTAAAAAAAATGACACTAGAAATCCATATGTTCGATCTCAAGATTGAGATATATGTCCGTATTTAGTGTTTAAACATGCCTTGAACTGATTATGCCAGTGTCTAATTAAAAACAAAAAAACAAAAAGGAAAACAAATACGTAGGTACCATGCCGCAACTCATTTCATGTGCACTAAGAGTGTTCATACATTCTCGCATGACCTTATACATGATAGTATTTTTAATTTTATGCATTTGGACAAAGAGAGGCCAGTTCACTGATTACATTTAGACAAAGTCAGGCCAATCGTTGAAGTTTGATTTTGTCATCGATCCATGCTCGCTTCATCTAAAATCTTTCAAGGTCTTTCAATGTTTGATTCACTTAAAATCTTTCAACTATTCACACATGCTAGTGCTTTATAAATTCATGTCAACCCATCAGATGAATTACTTTATTATTATTTAAGAAAATCTTTCATTACAGTGTTTAGCATAAATGGTATAATTTAAAACTTGGTACTAACACTGACGTGTCTTCTCGAACGCGTCTATTCTTTAAGTTTTCTCTTAGACTTCGTTTGGAATGAAAAAAAAAGAAGAAGATAAAATTAGAAGGAAAAAAGAAGCCAGAGGGAAAATATATTTTCCAACGTTGTTCCCCTTAATTTCTACAATCAACATCCGTGGAAAGAAAATCAAAGAAAAGATTTTATACTATAAAAGAAAAATGTCTTCCCCCCACCAGTTTCCTCTAATCTCTCTCTTCTCTATTTTTCCTTATTTCAAACTGAGGGTTAATGTTCATATAAAAATCCTCTGCCTTATTTAGCTAAGGAACCCCATAAGTAATCTTTAATTACAATTAAAACAATGACTTCGGAAGTTCAATTCCTTTTCATTAAAAAAAAAAAAAACGAGACAGAGAGAGAGAGAGAACTGGCGCATGTAAATGAAATGTTGTCAAATTTTTTTTTTACGTGAAGTATTCAATAAAAATATAAATAATATTAAATATAAGGTAAGTTTGATATTAATAATAGTAAAAAAAATGTAAGAAATTAACTGTCATAAAAAATCAATTAAGGTAATCTCATATAAAATTTTATTTAAATGATTTAAAGTATTTTAATTAAATAGATTGCAAATGACATGACATATTCAATATACTTAAAAATTTTTCTTGTTGTCATTATTCATATTGAAATTGTTATTCATGGACGTTAAAATTGGGGGAGTAATAATTAAGTTCAAAATATTAATTTAATAACAATTAAGTTTATGATCTTAAAAAAACATAAATAACAAATAACAAATGTAAATTATGAAATCTAGCAATCATTAATTTGTGATTTACAATTGAAAATTTTATTTGATATTTTTAACTTAAATCTTACATAATTTTTTTTAAAACTTAACTGTTATTATTAAATTAAAATTTTGATACTTAACTGTATTCTAACCTTAAAAATTTAAAAATTATGACCATGTTGAATTCGAACGGGGGTTTAATTTAGAACAACGCTCAACAGAGAATCGTGCTCATGAACGTCTGTTGACCTCTCTTTCCATCACTGTCCTCCATCATCTTTTTCTTTTTTTGAGGGGCTAGCCAAAGAAGTACTATTCGTTACTGCAAAAAGAGCTTACAAAGCCGAACCCAAGCGCGTAAACCAGACAAAACAAAGAAGATCAGCAAACACAGAGCCAAGAAATAATTAATTAATGCAATTAATCGCTAGGAGGGTAGTTGCGTTACAAATCACACTAAACCAAGCGAAGAGCGAGAGAATTTATTCAGTAATCAATTCAATGCACGCCCTCAAAACCGTACGACTGTCAGAATTTTTGAATGGACTCTAACGGAGAGTTCATTCAATGGACCATCCCAAATCGTACTAGAACATGTGCATAGACTATGAATTTTATTGATGATTAAAAGGAAATTCGACATGTTATTTCGCGACCGAATGGGGCTTGACGTGGTCAAAGGTATACCAAGGTGGAACCTTTTTTTGTTTTCTAGTTTTTCCCTTCGCCAAGATAAATCAACAACTCTTGTATATTTCATCAACCGCGTTAATCAGTTAGACTCTCTTCTTTTCTCTAGTTATCCAAACAAATCATTTCTTTTACGATGATAATAATTTTTTTTGGCTAAAAGCGCTATTTTATGCATTTACAAAATTAATTTCTTTTTAAACCGAAAACATTAAAAGTATTTTTTGGCCATCAAATATTAATAATATATAGTATAGCTAATATTAAATATTTTTTCATGGGAGCTATCAGCGATTTGCAAAATGCAGCGGTTTTAAATATTCCTTTTTTGGGTTTATTTACCAAAAGAATATTCTTTTTTTAGCACAACTAGCCTGTGAACCAAACGAAGTTGTGCACTATTTTAGTTTAGTAGCTTTCAAATCCACTGGGAACACTATAAATACGCGTTACTTTGACCATCAACTTGGAAAAGCTATCAGCTTGACATTCGAGGACGATGAAGAAGCTCGTGTGCCTTCTGCTCTTCCTTATCTGGACTCTTGCTTGTTTCCTGCGCGCAGCAGTAGCTCAGACCAGCGAAACCGTGCCGGTGAAAGTAGGAATCGTACTTGATCTTTCGTCTTCCACGGCGAAGATGGGGCTGACCTGCATCAACATGTCCCTCTCTGAGTTCTACGCCTCTCATTCTCATTACAAAACTAGGCTCGCTTTCTTCGTCAGGGACTCCTCGAGAGACGTCGTTACTGCTGCTGCTCGAGGTTTTCTTCTGTGCTTTCTTCTTCGTCTTTTTTCCATGATTGTTGGTTTTGGTCATCGCGCCGTTCGTTTGATCGTGTCCCTCTTTTCTGGGATCAGCGGAGGCATAGTGTTTGAATCACTGTTTGAAGTTGCAAAACTTTTTGCCGTTTCCATTTAGATAACATTGAAATATTCAGGAACCGCAACTTTCAAAAGTTGTCCGAATATTAAACCCTATTTTTCAAACATTTCTTATCAGTCCTATAGCTTAACCTGTTAGGCGCTCCTGCCTTTAGAAAATTATTTAATATTTATAGTAAGGAAATTGTCACTTGCATTATTATCACATTAACATCTGATAGTCTAGCTGATAGATAGTTTATCTAGGAAAATGTAGATTTAAACAACTTCAAAGTAAAACAACAGTTTTTCCTCGAGCATTGACATCAAAGTCTTGTTAAAAAAACTGAGCATGTTCGAACCAGCTAAGACAAACAAGAATGATTTTACTTGATCAGCGCCATTCAGCGGAAACAACATATGCACAGCACCGTCATTTTTTCTTCCTCGAGTATGCATGCTTGTTGTATGGGATCCTAACATGTTTCTGAACATCGTAATTATGATGATGAACAGCTATCGATCTCATCAAAACAGAACTAGTGCAAGCCATAATAGGACCATCGACATCAATGGAGGCCAACTTTGTGATCAGTCTTGGAGCGGAAGCCCATGTGCCCATCGTAACCTTCTCGGCAACGAGTACTTCTCTTGCTTCTCTGGGGAGCCCATACTTCTTTCAGATTGCACACAACGATTCGGCTCAAGTAAATGCAATTAGCTCAATCGTGCAAGCTTTTCGGTGGAAAGAGGCAGTGCCCATTTACGTGGACAACGGTTATGGACAGGGGGTCGTGCCCTTCTTAATTAATTCTCTTCAACAAGCTTATGTTCGAATCCCATATCAGAGTGCCATTTCACCTTCAGCCACGGACGAAGAGATGAAAACAGAGCTCAAAAAGTTGATGACCAAGCAAACCAGAGTGTTTGTCGTGCATATGCCCACCAATATTGGCACTCGTCTCTTCCCCATAGCAAAACAGATCGGTATGATGAGCAGAGGCTATGTTTGGATAATAACCGATGGTTTGGGCAATGCGTTGAATTCCTTCGATTCCTCAGTCATAGAATCAATGCAGGGAGTATTGGGTGTGAAGAGTTATGTTCCTAAAACGAAAAAACTCGATGATTTTAAAGTCAGATGGAAAAGAAGGTTCGCACAAGACAATCCAACCCTTGCGAGCACAAATCTGAACGCGTTTGGGTTATGGGCTTATGATGCAACCACAGCTTTAGCCATGGCTGTTGAGCAGGTCGGCACCCGCAATCTTGGGTTCGATGCGAGTAATGATTCGGGAAATTCTTATGATCTTGAAAGTCTGGGAGTTTCACGAAATGGGGAAACGCTGCGTGAAGCCTTATCCAGAATCAGATTTAGAGGCCTGAGTGGAGAGTTCAAAGTTGTTGATGGACAATTGCCAGCATCAACGTTTGAGATAGTAAACGTGGTTGCTAATGGGCAAAGAACCATAGGATTTTGGACATCACAAAATGGACTTGTCCGAAATCTCAATTCTACATCAAAGAAGGATCTAGCAGCAGTAATATGGCCAGGGGATACAAAATCTATTCCAAGGGGTTGGGAAATCCCTATAAATGGAACAAAGTTGAGGGTAGGCGTACCAGTGAAAGCAGGTTACACGGAATTTGTGAAGGCGACTTTTAATCCAGCCACAAATCAAACAGAAATCACTGGATTCTGCATCGACGTGTTCAAGGCTGTGGTGCGTGCGTTACCGTATGAACTGCCATATGAATTCATCCCATTTCCTAAGATGGAAGCTGTGATTAGTACAACTCCAATATACAACGACCTCATCACCCAAGTATATTTAGGGGTAATTAAATCCGTTTGGATACTTCCCCTCCACCAAGTTCACTTCAAATAGGTGTTGACGAAATATTATTTTGATTTGCAGAACTTTGACGCGGCGGTGGGGGATGTGACGATCATAGCAAACAGGTCCAACTATGTGGATTTCACTTTGCCGTACACTGAATCTGGCGTAACAATGATAGTTCCGGTGAAAGACAAGAGGAAGAAGAATGCGTGGGCCTTCTTAGGGCCATTGACTTGGGATCTTTGGGTGACAATGGCTTGTTCCTTTGTATTTATTGGGTTCGTTGTGTGGGTGCTTGAACACCGAATAAACGAACATTTCAGAGGGCCTCCGTCGCACCAGATTGGCACCAGCTTATGGTTTTCTTTCTCGATCATGGTTTTTGCCCATCGTAAGTTGTACTTCTCCTCATAGTTTTATACTGATTTTTTATGATTAGCATTAGTGTGGATAAGTGTAACACATGATAAATTATTTGATGGTTTTACAGGAGAGAGAGTGGTGAGCAACTTGAGTAGATTTGTGGTGATCATATGGATATTTGTAGTTTTGATTCTGATTCAAAGTTACACTGCGAGTTTGACGTCGCTCTTGACGGTTGAACAGCTTACCCCAACTGTGGATGACGTGAATCTACTCATAAAGAATAGACTGAATGTTGGTTATATGGAAGGTTCTTTTGTGTATGGAGTTTTGAAGGATATGGGTTTTCAAGATTATCAACTCAAAATTTATAATTCCATTGAAAGTTTCCATAAATTATTTGAAAGGGGAGTTGAAAATGGTGGAATTGCTGCTGCGTTTGATGAAATTCCATATGTAAAACTCTTTCTTGGGAATTATTGCTCCAAGTATACCATGGCCGATCCAACTTTTAAAACTGGGGGCTTTGGCTTTGTAAGTTTGTCACAATTCTCAATTTTAGTCTTAATACTATCCTACTTTAATAGGATTGCTAATTAAATTGGGTTGAATTGCAGGTTTTCCCAAAAGAGTTTCCTCTTGTAGCTGACATTTCTAGAGCAATCTTGAACGTGACACAAGGGAATAAAATGAAAAGACTAGAGAGTGAATGGTTCAATGGAAATAATTGTCCAGATTCCAAGGCCTTGGTTTCCTCAACTAGCCTTGGCCTTGAGAGCTTCTGGGGCTTATTCCTCATCGCAGGACTTGCTTCTATATTAGCACTCATCATCTTCGCGGTCACATTCCTATACCAAAATAGAAATATTTGGTCACTCTATAATCCCGGCGCATCAATATGGACGCGAATAAAGATGTTGGTAAGGATTTTTGACCAAAGAGACGAGAGCTCTCACACTTTCAAGAGAAAGGAAGACAAGAGTGAAGCTGCTAGCACTCATGGGCCAAGTGCAATGGAGGCGTCTCCAACATCACAGTGTCCCCCAAGTCCATCAAGTGAAGCTGAATCTGATTTTTCCTTTAATGGAGACGGTGCAGTGTGTTCTGAAGAGTTCAATGAGGCTTATCCAAATAGCTTTCTGCCTCAAAACGTGGAGATAACCGTCCGGCATTGGATACAGCCTACTTAACTAAGGTTGTTGTCTTTAACATGACAGACATTCTCGTAACTGTACAATCATCAATGTAGCAATCATTATCATGCGGATTCTGAGCATCATCTAGTTAGACAATATATGTGTAAATATATTCACAAGACCATGGCACGATCTTGAGAGTCAAATATTCTGTTACTAAAATGCAAGCAAGGAGATTGGTCAAGTCATGGTGATAGCATTAAAATTAATATTTTAAAAATTGAATTAGACATCAAATTGAAAAAGTTAACAAGTCATGATTTTTACAGTTCAACTGATCAAATCAATAGTTAAACTAGTGATAAAATAATTAAACAAAAATATAATAAAGATTAGTATTAAATAACAACAAGAATTTAAAATAAATAAAAATAGGCTATAATTTCTAATATTTATATAAGTTAAAATTCATTTTATTTAAGATGATGGAAAAAAAGGTTATATGTTTTTTTTTATAAACTGGATGAGGCCCATCTAAATATGGGCAATGTTATTACAGTCAGCTAACAATGATGATTCCATTTCAAAGGTGGAGAAGAGAAACGATAAAATCCAGGCCAGCTACTAAGAGCTTGTTTTGCAAGATGGTCAGCCACACTATTTCTTGATCTGTAAACATGGTGAATATTAACCTCCCAATGCCTGTAAAGTAAACACTAGATTTGCTCAATCAGTTCCTGGAGATGGTGGTGGTGGCATTCATTTACCCGAACTAAGTGGATAGCCTCTACAACGTCACTCTCCAAGATAACACGTTGAAAGTTTAAATCCATGCTTCCTTCAAGCCAAACAAGATCGCCCATGATTTAGACTCCAAGCTATCTTTTCTGATGCTGCCACATAGGAAGCCAGATGAGAATTTTCCAGAGTGGTCCTGAAAGACTCTACCACAACCTGCAACAGGTCTATCAGGTAAGAAAGCTCCATCAACATTAATTGAAACCCAATTTATGGGGGGTGGCTGCCATTTTGAATAGCTGGATAGAGGGGTATTCCCTGAGATATTGAACATTGTTTAAAGAAGTTTTCTGATGCTGTAAGCTCTTTAAAGTTGACATAACTTAGGTATAAATTGATTCATTACTTCTATTGCGATCTTTAAAAATATAAGAGTTTCATCATTACCATAAAAGCCAGTAGCTTAGTGCAAATATAGCGCTCCATTCTGGAGTCATCTTACTTCTAGCACCTATCATGTTCTATCGCATCCATTAAGGCTGTGCTGTCCCAAAAAACACCCTAAGATATTTGACGAGCAGAAGTTTACTCCAATACTTGAAGGCTCCTGGATAATTTGGAGGATATGTATTATGTCTTCTGCTTGAGACGGGTACTAAGCACATTGGCCATCTGTATTCATCATTCTACGTCTATGTGTTTCATTCGTCAGTAACAGATTGTATACAGCACAAGCCACATGAATGTTCGATAACTGTGAGGGACATGTAACTTCCAAATTCTGGACTATATAGGTGTGCCCAGACCGTTTTCACTAACCTTATCCCATATAGTTTTAATTCCAGCCCAAGTGTTAAAACCTGGATGCTTCTTATTAATCACAGGGACTAAATCATTTTCACACTTATACTTCTTTCTTATAACTTTAACCCAAAGATCATCTCTGCACTTCATCAACTTCTATCCAAGCTTTATGAGAGTAGCTTGGTTTTAAATTTTAGTGTGTTTAATGCCTAAACCACCATTCCTCTTACAATTTCCCATGTCTTTCTAAGATACTAAGTGAATCCTTTTCTTTTCTGTCGTAGATCCCTAAATAAAACTTTTATTCATTTTATCCAACGTCTCACACGTATGAGTGGGGAGTAAAGTAGTTTGCAGGGTGTAGCTTGGGATGGCAGTACTTACTGAAGAAACTAAAGTCATCCTTCCTGCAAGTGATAAAGATGTAGCTTTTCAGTTAGATAGTCTTTGTCTGACCTTGTCCACTACATTATTGAATGTGTCCTTTCCCACAGGCTTGGTATGAAGTTGCACCCCAATTCTGCTGATTTGGTATATCCTAGTGTCGAAGTAATTTCTTCACGTCAAACATTATGCACATTCTTTGAGAAATAAATTCTGGTATTTACAACATTGATCTTCATCCTAGAACTTTCATAAAACCTTAGCAAGCACTTGTTTATAATATTAACATGTGACATAGAAGCTTCAGTAAATAACATAACATCGCCAGCAAAAAATAGATGAGATATTGGGGGTTGTCTTTTCTAAATATGATTGGTCTCCATTCTCTTTCATCTACTTTCTGTTGAATCAGATAGGCCAATTTTTTCATATATATGACAAATAGGTATGGAGAAATAGGATCTCCTTGTTGGACTCCATGAGATGGGGTAAAAGATTTAGATTGACTTCCATTTAAAGAATCTGTATGGATGAGGAAGAGATACACTCCTTAATTACATTAGATATCTTATCCGAAAAGCACAGTTCCTTCATACAGTCAGATAGAAATCTCCAATTAATTTGGTCATAAGCCTTTTCCAAGTTAATTTTAATTGCCATAAATCCTTTTTTCCTTGCATATTTTTCATAGAATGAACAATCTCTTAAGGAACAATAATGTTATCAGAGCTATGCCTGTCAGGTACAAAACTACATTGATTGGGCCCGATAATACTTGGAAGAAACACCTTCAATCTGTTAGTAATAACCTTTGTAATAATCTTGTAAATAACATTACAAAGGCAAATAGGACGGAGATCCTATAAAGTTTCAGGAGGATTCTTTTTAGGAATAAGCACTAAAAAAGTATGGTCTACCTCCCTCATAGTCTGCAGGTTATGAAAGAAATTCTTCACAGTTGTGCTAATAGAAGCTCTAACATGACTCCATTGACTCTGATAAAAGATGGCTCTAAACCCATCCAGACTTGGAGATTTAAGTACCGCCATACATTTAAGAGCCTTGTGAATTTCCTCTATTTCAACATCTTGACCAAGTTAAATGAAGCATTCTTTATCAATTTTTGGAAAAGTGACATGGGTTTGCAATCTGGGCCTAGATTCTTCCTCTTTAAAGAATAAATTTTGAAAATACTTTGTAGCCAAAATTTTCAATTCTTTTCATCATAGGCCCATTGACTAGCTTCATTTTGCAAAGCCCCAATGCAGTTGCTCTTCTTATGACCATTAGCACAATTATAGAAAAAACAAGTATTTTTATCTCCCATCAAGGCCCAATTACTTTTTCCCTTTTGAGCCTAAAGTATATTTTCTTGCAATAAAATCTTTTCCACTCTAGCCAAAGTTTGGTTTGCAATTCTTCCAACCTTCACGAAGCACCTCCATTGGCAATGGTTCTTGTAATCCCTTTTAGACGTCAGAAAAGGTTCTTTTTCTTAAATTCTGTATGCCCGAAAACATCTCTGTTCCACTTTGAGCAAACAACAGCAAGAGTTTTGATTTGTTTTCTCCAAGTTTGCTTGTTACCCCAGGAATCATGAACTAATTGGTCAAACTTTTCATGAAGAACCCAAGCTGTAATAAATCAAAACAACTTATCTATATGCTTCTTGATCAGCTGGTCATTAATAAAAGAAGTAAAGGTCTATGATCCGAAGTGTACTAATGAAGATGTTTAACCGTAGCATTGTAAAATAACTCTATCCAGTTAGTGTTCACTAGCACCCTGTCAATTTGACTCTCACAATCCCCCTTATGTCACGTAAATTTTAGACCTTGAAAGCCTATATCATTCATCTGTGATGATTCTACGCAACTTTTAAAGTCCTTGTCTATCCCAAAACCTCTTTGGACCAAAGATTTTTGCTCCATGAAAGAGCATTACATTGAAATCTCCTGTGACATGCCAAGGCCCTTAGATATTATCACCCAGTTGAGAGAGATCCTTTCATAAGCCTCTTCGAATGTCGATATTTGGACTCGCAAACATTAGGGTTAGCCATCATATTTCTTTCTTGAAGAGTTTTAATTTTTAAGTAGATGAATTGAAAATTACATTTAACCACAGTCACTATTATATTTTTGTTGCATAGACACCAAATGCCTCCTTTAAAACCTTCAGCATCAACAACAACATGCTCATTAAAACCCAATTTTACTGCCATTTGACTTGCTTTCTACCCACTACTTCTGGTCTCCAAGATAACTACTAAATCAACTGTAAAAGCCTTTATTAACTCTTAAATAATATTTAGGAACAGTTTATATCCTGTTCCTCGGGAATTCTAGATGATGGAATTCATAAATCACTGAGTACGAATATTATTAGGGTGTAAGGCCTCTGTGCTACAACCTACGTGGATATCCATGTCATTAGTCTGGTCAAATTCATTATCTAAACTGCTTCCTTGGCCCATCATATGAGTCTCTTCTTCTCAATCTTTGTATAGATCACCTTCCTGGCCTAACTCGCCTTTTAACGTTTAGCCCATTTGCTCTTCATGATCCTCTTTATCTACCTCCTTCTCCACACCGTTTAGTGTTTCAAATAGGTTGAATGTATTTATCTTTAGCCCATCATTCCCATAAGTTTGCTTTCCTTTATCCTTATATCTAGCTATAGCTAGTGCCACGTCCTCCTTGCCATGTGGTTTGTACTTTATAAGAACTTTCCTTTTTCTCCTCATTGGCACCCACTTGATTTAGCCTCTTGATTGACTTCTCTCTTAAAGTATTAGGATTTATCCATTGATTGCATCTTTATAAGAATATTCTTTCTTAATCGTGTGTCCATATCCCTTTGACTGCGCCTTTGTCCTATTGTCATACCTCTCACTTTATTTATAACCTTATTCTTCACTACTCATTCGTTAAAACCCTTGAATTCTACCCTAGAATCACGCCTTTTTAGCTATTGTTTTACCAAATTTTTAGGTCTGAAACATCTTCCAGTCATCAAAAACTCATCACCGGTAATGACAGTGGCTTTGTCTTGTTCATCCTGCTTCTTTAAGTGCTCACTCTGATCCTTTATTTGTGCTGTTTTATTCTCCTTTCCTAGTGAATCTTCACGTCGACTATCCTCAACGAACTCAGGACATAATTCTTTGTGGTGCCAATATTTTCCACAGTGAAAGCATACTGGATATAGGCCCTCGTATTGAAACATGTACTCTTCGCCAAAATTAGTGAAGGATGAAAGGA